ATGAAATAATCAAAATGCAAAGTGGATAAAAAGATGAGACCACTAATAGTAAATCAGAGTAACATAAATGGGAAATTCGATTATACTGAAAGAATGTTAGAATGAAGTTTATGCATTATAGAACATTTTGGCTAGATCTATTAGGATGAAGACTCTAGCCTCTATATGTTAACATTAACTTTATGGTTAAATACTACATTTCAAATTCATTATCACGGAAGGTTCGCCTACGTCTGTTCTAATAAGATCGTCTGAACAGGGAGTTCGTACTCAAAAATAACACTTTCAGTTATCATTTCTACAACAGCAGACTCCAGATTTGAAGTTTTCCTCCCTTCCAAGAGTGTCTTTTTATCTTATCTCTTTTTTGTTTCATTTGTGATTTAATTCGTTTTCTCGTCTTCTTGACAGTTTTAACCATAATATTTCATATTTTATATATTTCAATCTAGCATTTTTTCAGTCTTATCGAATCTTCCAATCTTACTTTTCTGATTTGTTATTAGTGATAGTGTCTCTTTTCTCAAAAAAAAATGCAACCAACTCTTTCATTCTTTTATTCAGACTGACTTCTAAATGAAAATCTTACAAGATTTTCAACTATCCTCTGAAATGTTGTACCAAATGAAAACCTTTTTTGAAAAGAGGATGAAACTTAGGTTTATCTTTCGTATATTTTTAGGATGCTGACGGTAATTTGATTTCAAATCAGCGTCTGTACTTATTATCACTTCCAGATATTCAATAATCTCTTTTAAAGGAATGCCACTAAACAACACAATTGCAGAAATGAAAGACGAACATTCAAAACTCTGAAATCACATGAGATATCTCCTGAACTCAGTATACAGAACAGAAATATTATATTTAATTCTTCTATGTGGTTCAGAAGCTTAGCGTGTCACGAAAAGCATTTCCAACAGCTGGTTGAAGACTGTTGTTAACAGCTGCCTTCGTTGGCTCAATGCCGAAGATCAGATAGTCTGCCTGATAAGATTAGCAACATAAATAAACCAATCAAGAATCTGTTTTTCAATAAATATGTGGAAAAAAGTGGAAATGGATTGGGTACACACTGAGGAGATTGTTGGGTGATATCGCGCCCAATGTAGTTCCTCAATTGGAACTCGAATGGTAAGGACGAAATGGATAAAGGTCCAAGGGTGACGCGGGAAGGGAATGAAAGGTTCTGTGCAATCATGTAGTCACGTTAAGAAGACGTGAAAGAGCAGGTTTATGCACTGCTGACGTACAATATTTTCCCCTGGAAACCCATCGAAATAATAGTAGTAATAAACGGGCTGTTTTTACTGGATACTAGTAAATAGTATGATATGTCTAGTCCTTTCTTTCGTGAAGACTGAATTCTGTCAGTAAGGTTTGTAATGTGGCCACCATTCTAGATAGCTCCACATCACGGTGTACATTGATTTTATGATATTGAAGGGTTGGGGAAATCGGTAGGAAGCCTTGCTCGACCTAGTTTTCGTACTAGTTATCACTCACTGGTCAGCAAGGCGTATCTGCCACCTGGAAGGAACTCATATCTCTTCTGAGATTTGAAACCGCATCACACAGTGCTAAATTCAGAGACGCTACTACTGAGCTATGCGGACTCCCGATTGACCTCCTGTAGGACTGTACTGGATACTTTGATTGGACACTAGTATCAAGTGTGATGTCTCCAGTCCTTTCTTTAGTGGTTGCGGATACACCTTGTTGACTGCTGAGTGCCAACTAGTACGAAACCCAGGTCAAGCAAGGCTTCCTGCCGACTGTCTCCAACTATCTGATATCATTAAACGGATGTAGTGGCCAACTGTGGATTGATGTTCGTACAGCCGATGGACAGGTAGTTTTAAATGGATTTTAGGCTATCCCAAGCCACAGTCACTACAGTATTGTGATCAGCTGTCGAACAGAAAGTATTTATTACCCATAAAAGGTAACGTAATCGATGCATTACAGGAGGCTTGAGAAAATAGTACGATACCGAAATTAGAATTTGATTTCAGAATGGATAATTTTTAGTACGCATAAACTTCTATCAAGATAATTCACAACACAGAGTTTGCTTCAAGTAAATTATTCAGAAATACACTTCTGCATTCTTTCTGCGTATAACAAATTAACGCCAACATACTTTCTGGAAAATAAAGCTTCACATTCATACACCTATATGAGGACAAAATTAATTCTTAGGTTACATTTTATCAGTGATAGACATTAGAAATTGTACTGGATAACAAACAAATTATTACAGTTTATTTCACTTTTCAAATGTTAACGTACTCAACTTGGTCGAAATAAAAATAAGACGGTTCGGAAGAAGTTGCAAACTAGAACGAAACAACTACCGTGTAGTCTTAACCATTCTATTTTTTTTGGGGGGGTGTTCATGATATAGCCTCCAACTAAATATGTGCTAATCAAGTGAAATTTTATCTACTTTTCAAATAATTACTGTGGCCGGAAAATGCGTCGAAGGCAAAATACTATAAACACTATTTATCAAGTAGATGTTTTTACTGGACTGGAAGTTATAAATGATGAGTGATGTTAGGCACTGCAAACAAATAGTTATACTGCTAGTTGACGAACTATAAGTTTTTCAAGAACTGGAAATCGAAGTAATCTGCATTTCGCTGCTAATATCTAACATGTACCGTTAAATAATATTATATTTAATGAGTTTAAATTAGATTACTGGACAGACTGTGAATTTAATCCAAATCTCACTGGTCAGCTACATATACTACTTACGGGCAAATAAATGTTGGCTCTAAAAATTCACTAGGAAATGAGTGTTTCCGCTTTAATCAATTTTTTTTATTTTTATTCCTTTACGTTCCCAGTGGAAAATAGGGCTTCAAGCCAGAGCTTGAAGGTTCTGTAGCAATTTTTAGTTTACAATATGGGTTGCTAGCTCCATGCCCAACCTTCCCTCTTTGCCAGTTCTATTTTTGGCCTAGCGAGGTAAAGAATTGCATCGGCGGGGATCGAACCCTGGACCATGTGCATGGTCGGCGAGCATCCTAACCACTGTGCTACGACGCAAAAAAATATGGAACGCTTCACGATTTTACGTGTCATCCTTGCGCAGGGGCCATGCTAATCTTTCTGTATCGTTCCAATTTTAGTATATGTACCGCCGATGCGAGTACATATACTAAAAATCTTAATATCAACTAAAATGCTATAATTTTATTATATTACTATTGCCTTAGGTTCCAAGTGGAAAATAGGACTTCAACAATACTTCTCCACTTCCTCCTCTTTTGTTGTGCCATCTTCAGCTGGTTCCACAATTGCCCATAATCTCTCATCTCCTCCTCCAGCTCAAACAGTCTCTCCATATCACCCTTGGAAGACCCACTCGTCGCTTCCTATTTGGATTCCACTCGAGCAATGACCTGCATTGCTTGAGATATCATTCGACGGTATCATCAACTTATGCATGATCCATCTCTATTTCCTCCTACATATTTCTTAAGTGATCAGCCCTTGGTTAGTTTGTTACCAGAGTTTCTTGTTACTTATTCTTTCTGTTCAGCCGGTCATTTGATCTTCAGTATGGAGCCAGCGAAGGCAGATGTTGATAAATATGTGTAGCTTGTTGAAGATCCTCCCAGTGACTCGTCAAGTTTCTGACCAGCATAGAAGAATTGACTTTACATTTGTGTTGAAAACGCTAACCTAATTGTTTACGCTGGCTGAGTACAGAAGATTTCCAAACTGGTTTCAGATTGATGAAGGCGTATGTCGCCTCTCCGGTCCTGGCTGCCTTTGACATTTTCACCCATTCTGACTGCCTGTTGTTGAAATAGTGCTTCGTTGATGAGTGACTGAGGTTCCCTCTGTCAAACCTTTCCCATTGATGGCGATTGGTGCTGGTTGTTGTTGCCGTTGGCTGATTATTTCACCACATTCATCTTCTCTATGCTTATCCAAATTCTAAAATGTTAGAATTTAGGTAATTAAAATAAGTTAACTACATTTACATCAACCGAGTGTAAAGCCCTGGAAAAATAAAAGAAAATAAGAAGAAAAACTATAACAGTAAGTCTGAATGGCTTTTACTTAATTCGATAAAAAAAGTGAAATCAGATAATAGTTTAATGAGACCATTTAATCAGATCATTTGATTAGTGTGTTTTTCTTCTCCTGCTCTCATTGCAAAATACTAAGAATTTGTTTCCTAAAAGAGAATTAATTTATGCATTTATTTTGCTAAGCTCACTTTTCTAACTTATTTGTAGGGTGAGGAGAATGCCTGACTTTAGGGAGTAAAGGAAATTGGATAATGAACACAATTTAAACTACAATTTCATTTGGTATTGTATGCTTCAATATAAAATTAACTACTAGAAATGTAAAGTCCAGTATTCTTTGATTATTCATTGGGTGGTAACTAACATCATAAGTTTAGTCTTTTGTCTGGTGTAGACTGAATTGGTAGAAGTTACAATTCTCAGACCTTTGGATCGATTCCCACATACTGAATGATCTGCGGGCTTACCTAATAACCGACAGGTCCTAGGTTCGAACCCTGGTGGGTGGTTGCTGCCGATGAGTCCCACACTAGGCCGAAATAGCTATTCAGTACTCACTGGTCTTCAATGGTTCGCTGACTGAAATCAATCCGTGGTCAGACTTCAATTCTGTCAATTAACTTTGCAGTGTTTGGGTTCCTCGCGGAGTTCACACTCATGACTCGATCAGGAATGAAATATAGGATATTCAGGTCATAAAGCTAGGCCGGTAACCATTTAGTCACAGTGGTATTTCTTTTTTTCCGTATAAAATACACAAAGTTTCTTCTAAAGCCAACTCACAGTATTTCACATGAGGTGTTTCAGGAATGCAGATACTCCTTGTTAATGAGTGTAAATAAGCACCAAACACTGATCCAAGTTATCAGGCACACTGCTGTGTACTGCTTAAACATTTGTGTTTTAAATTTATACCTGTGTTATTGTTTTATTTTTTTTCAACTTTAGGTTGGCTTCATGAACTAGGTGAACGAATGCAGCTAAATCTTACATACAATCCAAATAATAATAAAACAAATGGGCTAACAAGACGTGCATTATACGTCTCCAGTTTATACTTTACAACAACCAGTTTGACTAGCGTTGGATTCGGTAATGTATCACCGAATACAGTTAATGAAAAAATATTTGCTGTTATAACAATGCTTGTCGGAGGTAAGAATTATTTATGGGATATACATGTACTTTTTTCAAGCGCTGGTAGCCAAGGTTTTGATTGATTTTAAGTTTAAGACTTCAGTTAGAAAACCATCGAATCTAGGGAGTATCAAACAGCTGTTTTTTCCTGGCTTGAGATTCTTCAATAATACACAACCATGATTCAAATGGGAGTCTAGCCTGGCACCCTAAGGTTACGAGACCAATTGTTTGATCATTCAGCGACTAGGATGGAATATGTGATAACATTGACATTTTATTTCTTTGTACAAGATGCATTAAATGAAGCAATTTTGTAAAAGGTCATAGAAGAATGTTATGTAAAGAAACTTCAATTACATGAAGACAGATTTTTTCCACAACAACTCTAAGCAGGGTCAGCAACTAGCTCAAACATTGACGAGAAAAGTCAGTCAATGATCATGGCACACAAGGTAGGTTTCCCAGGCTCGATTCGGGAACTATATCTTATTTTAACAAAAATACACCCAAGGAAACATTAACTAACTGACTGACCGACTGAGTTGCGGCGAAGAACGTTGTACAGAAGCGGAGCACTTCAAATTTCACATCCCACGTAGTGCAAAAACGTAATCAAAAGAGAGGAAAAAAGACATTTGAAAGTACTAAAGTAGACAGAAATATATATGGGCGAAAAAATGGTGACGTAGAGAAAAAACATAACGTTTCAGTAAATACGGGAATTGTTATTTATTACTGGTGTCAATTTACCCCTTTGCATTCCGAGTGGAATACAGGGCTTCAAGATTGAGTTGTAGGGCTGCGGCAGCAGTGGCGTTGAGTTATTTTTACAGGATAGGTTTGATAGCCACAGGCTCAATTTCCTTTCCATAGCGGGATTGCTAACGGCCTATCAAGGATTAGGAGTGTATCGACCCGAGTCGATCTCTGAACTACGTAAATGGTTGACAAGTATTCTATCACTGTATCACGATTAAGAGTTATGGGAAATTAAAAAGAGTGAATACATATACAACAGTGGCAACGATTTCGAGCCATATCACCAACAGTCTCAAGCTATTCCCACCCAGACGGCCTAACCCCCCCCCCTTTTTGATTTAAAACAACAGTAAATGACTGCATGGATTGATATCAGGTTTTAAATTTGACCATTTCTAGCCCTTCTCGAGCCCAGTTCACTGTCTGTTAACATTGATGGTCGTGGAAGACAGTGATTCGGGATGCGCAACTGTGTCCCAACCATCTTAATCGATGTAGCTTCACGACTTGATCGACCGCCTCTTCACTTTACCTAGCACTGTAGGCCTAACCTCAACATTACTCACCATATTATACGAATTGACACGGGAGATGGAATTCAGAAATCAATGGTCGAAAATGGCTAGTCTTTTCATATCTTTCACTTTCAATGGCCATGTCTCACATCCATAAAGCAAGACAAAATGAACTGCTGTGCAGTACATGCGTTATTTCGTTGACAGCTGGATATTACATCTTTGCCAAGGATGAAGTTAAAAAGTGCCATATGAACCCCTTGTATCCACACTGGGATTTCGTCAGCAGTCAGTCTATTGTGGTGAATGCAGCTTGCAAATAAATGAAGTGGTCAACACACTTAAACAATTCACTCCTCAACTTTACAACAGGATTCAGTGCAGATCAATCTTGTAGCCTCATTTTACATTTGACAGGAGTGAGATGCACGCCGAATATTTGAAGACATAATAAAAGTAAACACGATTATATCCTAGTAAAATATCAATCCTTAAGTCGCCAAATTCAATTAGGGTCAATTCCATATTGGTACATCTGTGATGAAAATCAACAAAAATGGGGTCATTGGCTAAGGAAATGTTCCCTGTTGCTTTCCATTGTTATTTAGCTCATTCATTAAAGTCCAAATTCACTTTATAATCTCCAATGAGCAAACTCTTGCTCATTGAAGATGCCCACTGGAAATTTAAAAGACTGATCAGGCGAATATAGTATATTCTTCCTGATATATTCGTCATCAGGTTCTACAGTTATATGACAATAATAATTAAAAAAGTACGCTAATTAACAGCATTAATGTGGTTATAAATTTCACTGAATCAACAGTATTGCCTAACCATATTAATATAATGCTAAACTGCGTGTTTCAGATAAACTAGGGGAAGTAAGACAGAATAGGTTAAACGGACGGCTAGGGTAGCATTAGTAGCTGAACCCATTTCTTTTGCAAGCAGAACTACAGTTGATTTAGGCAAATTGTAATAGCCTGTGCTGTTTGCAGTGTTCTCTATCTAGAGGCCCTTGGTAATTTTTTCGATACTCAATAGATGAGGCTCTTCACTGCCCAATTTGTGGCCTGTGTCAACAAATCCTAAGAGTTGAAAGTATCACCCGTTTCTAAAAAGAAGTGAACATGACTGAAGTATTATTTTGTCATCACAATGAAATATGTACCTGATTTTAGCATATTTTATTGAAAATATAATATTTCACTGATAAGAAAAGAAGCAATACAGAGTGGTAGAGTTAAGAAAATAAAGTTTGCGCAAAAAATGCATTCATTCGAACGTTTGATTTCTAGATGTATCATTAAAAGTTACAGAATTCTGTTAATCTAATTTGTAAGGATAATTAATTGCTTTCTAGTTCTCTTTCCTGTGGAGGAAAATAATTATCGCCCTAAATATAAGCAAGTAATTTATTCAGTCATATTAAGTGGAGTTCCATAAACATTGTTGTATCTCTCCATAGATTTTAATTGTAAAGTTTAAAAAGACAACAATGCTATCCGTTTGATGAAGACTATCAGCAGAGTTCAAGACAGGTTCTACGTCCTGCTTCGAACTCGATAGCTTCATATACCTGAATCTCAGTATGGCAGATAGTGTCTTTACTGAGAGTCCGTCATTTCGAATGCCAGATAACTTCATTACTCTACCTTTATCACAGTGTGGTGCTTGCCAACAGATCAGTGTTTCTGAGTGTTAGTTTGTAGGGATTTGATTTGTTTCAAGTTTGACGGAGGACTGATATCACCTTGATAACTACTGATAATCAAGGAGTACTGGACAGTTGCTTCGTCCTGATTTAGGACCTTCCGGGCACAAGTCAGGCTCGTAGACCACTCACCCACTGAGATCCGATTCAGTGGACCATCAGTTCTGTCACTGATATCAATCCGCGGTTCAACTTGAAAAAGATCAGTGTTTTGCTAGATGAAATTTTCAATACGCAAAGGGAATAGTATGAATTGAATTACCATCTGCATAATCGTTTAGTCATTTGTGTATCTCACGCCTATTTAGTTAACAGTTTGAAAGCTAGCTTCTAAGAAGTAATCAGAATTTATTATACATGCTAACAACACTCTCAACTCACTTGGAGAAAAATGATAATTCTGTCCTTATACTATCAGTCTAGCTAGTTATATATTACGAAGTTGATTGGCTTGATATGCTATATTGAAAATGGTTCACTGATGGAACACTGTCTAACTACGTATGTTGTCTAGGATTCGGTTCCTAGTAGACGCATTCCTAAACCTCACCTACCACAGAAGTTACAATAGTGACTCCGCCTTGTAAAATATAAAACACAGCTACTGAAAGTTTCAGGCCTTGTTCCAGAAGATGTGTGTTTCACTAGGAAGACATGGAATGAAAAAAATTTAAAAAACTGGCTGAATAAGCTATGTATAAAGTTAGAATATTCCGGTCAACCTTTAACGCCAAAAAAAAATAACTCTTTATTTATATTGAGCAATGCAAGTACTACTGACTAAGGCCAAATGGTATTTAATAACGTCTCACAAATTAACATTTTAACCCTGACATTTTAGCCACAACATCCTATATCTCAATGGCTTCATAAATAGTAAGCCCACGGAAATGAATCTTGGTAATTATAATTATACCACAAGGACATCTATATTCCTCCTTTGCCTGCCTGAAACATCCAGCTGCTGATTTAAACGTCACGCATATCAAACATCATTGCTTATCGCTCGCTGCCTTAGGATTACAAGATACGATTTTTTTAAAACCTACTCCTATATGTGACCCTTTATTCTTCTGAACTACATACCAGAGACTCTTCGCTCAGAATTTATTTGAAACGCAAAAAACATCTTTCAGAATATTGGTCATACCTAACTAAGCATATAAGAATAGAATTTGGGCATTGTGGTAGAGTGCATATAATTCAATCAATAAAAGATAATCTATGTTGGAAGTCCTCACAACTAAATCAATATGCGAATAAAATCTTTCTTTTACCTTAAAAGTGATTAAATTGTTGATCAACCTGAAATTTTCTCCTCAGCCTTCCCTCCTTCACTATATATATATATATATATAAATCATAGTCCAACCCTCCAGATAGTATGTTAGCTAAGCACAGTTAGTTTTTCAGTAGAATCATTGTCATTGCTAAATAAATTATCAAGAATTATCAAATACTGATTGACAGGTTATTAAAACTTTATTGAATAGGATCAGATAAGCAGACAATTGACTGAAGAAAACAAAAATGAGTGGAAAATTCCATCCTTTACGTTTTCAAGTGTTGGTTTGTAGGGATTTGATTGGTTTCAGGATTTCATCATGAGCTGGCATCAGTTAGAGAACCATTGGAAAACCTTGGAGTACTGGACAGCTGCTTTTTCCATCCTAGTTTGGGACTCTTCACAGTACGCACCCACCGGGATTCGAACCCAGGACCTTTCGGTTACAAGGCGAGCTTGTATACCATTAAGCCACTGGGACCCGATCCAATGGTCCTTGAATTCTAACTTCTGCCAATTCACGACATAGCGCAACCGCTAGCCAATGTCTTCGGCGAGTATTTGTCCTCACACCCGACCAGCTGCACCTTTACGTTTTATTACGCAACAAGGAAGATTATTTAGACTTTTTCAAAAGACTAATAACGAAACAAAGAATATTCTTTTTAATAAATTCGTCTTCATCAGGTTCTGCAGTTATATATCTACAATGACTGAAGAAACACTGTTATTGACAATATTTATGTATTTTTAAAATAAGATCGAATCATTGATATCAAAATTCCAAGAGTTATATGCAAGTAGGCGGTTAGTAGATTATAGCTCAAAACATGTGTATGTGATAACATGCATAAATGTAGCACTAAATTGAACACCAGCATTCCAAAGTAAATAATCATTGATAACACCTAATGTGTATGGTGAAGAGTGCTGTTGACTAGTATTTATGATGAACTCTATTCACAGAAAATGCCCAACCAGACAGGAATATAAGAACAAAAGCGCATCAAAGAGTCTCTTTTCGGTTTATTCATTCACTTAGCTGTACAGCTGTGTATTTGTACATTAGGATCGTTAAACAAATATAAAAATTTGATGGGGTTATAATTTACGTTATTAGAATGTTTCAAAAATTTGGTGAATAATCAAATTGTTACTAGGAGGCGAAGATTGGTAAGTACTGACAAGGGTTGCATAATATGAAAGATACCCAGAAAAATATGAGTTTAACGAAACAGCATGGAGACAGTTGTCCAGAATAAATTATGTAGTAGATAGAAAGAGTAAATAAAGGGTTAGTTAAGCAAAAGATGTTGCCAAAAAGTTATACAAACATTCAAAAAAGAAGTATTATTAACAAAGTAGTAGAACTTCGAATTATACCCAAAGTAGAAGGAGGAGGTGAAGAGGTTTCTTCTATGTACATAAATCTGGGTTTTCTATCCGGATAGCTAAGGCATCGGTAATGCAAAGTAAGTGGAAGCTTACCATCTTCGGGAGACTTCTTTTGACTTTGTAGATGCCTTAGAATGAATTATTCGTGCATAGTGGGTGATCAGTAGGACTCTTTATTGATCCACTGTTCCCTTTTTGTAGCCAAGCTGGATAATGTTCCTTGACTCTTCTAGAGAAAACAAACATCGAACCACTTATAATATCTCGCTTCACATAAGCAAGTAAATTGGTAGATACACATTTTATCTATACTGATCATAAACTTTATATGGACAAATGATAATATCAAAATTAGGAAGAGAAAATTGGGTAGAAGTTTATGTGTGTACTTTTGTGCCAGTGTTTAACCTAATGATTAAGTTTAAATGACAGCATAAATGGTTTGTTTATACAGGTGCAAATAAAAGTGTTAGGGGAATTGATATGTAAACGGGATGGAAGGTTATACATCAAAAGACCGAAGTAATACAACATTCATGAACTTATAGACTCTACGACAAACCAGAGTAGCAGCGGTGCACACAGAGCACCAGCTGTTTTAAGCGGATTTCAACAGCCTCTGCTATTCGGAGTATTCGGCATCTGTTGGCTTTCGGCAACTTATTTGATATCTTAAAGAAATGCAACTTTTGGAATTTTCATACATTTATTCGCCTTTATCAATTTGAAAAAAACCAAGAATAACAGTCTTTACAGAATAAGATGGTATCATCACCTTTTTTTCGTTGTCTTTTCATCAGCTGCATACAGCCTAGAGAAATTATTAAATTTATATAAAGAACAATTCGTTAATACTTCCAAATCTTCCATAATGTCAGTTGACAGGAGGCTCCAAACTTAATAACCACTGCTCAGAAAATCGTACTTATATATTTTACACCCAGGGAGTTCAAGTTTCCACAAAATTAAAAGTTTGCTTACAGTGGTAAGGAAGTTAAGTAATAAAAACAAGAGGCGAGTAAGATGATAACCAACTAGTAAATTGAGTAACGGTTTAGTGGATTCAACCCAAATCACAGGAACAAGAGACTAGCAAAGCCTCATTATGTTATGGGAGAAAGGTTAAGGCCACAGATTACATAATCAAATGAAACAGACAATAAAAAAATCCAGTTAACAAGGCAAGGAAAGACTAGTAAATGCTTCTTTCTGGACACATGAATAGGATTTCAGGCGTTTGGTAGCGATTGCTTCCGCGAACTCGAGAAGGACTGAACGATTTCGTCTACTGATAATTTTAAGGGATTTCGCTATGTCACCTCATGACCCGCATTGACGAGATGTCTGACATTGGCACAATTACAAGCATTTGTTCCCTTGAAACATAGGCGTTTTGGTATATGTTCATAAAATTGGAGGTGTGCCCTTCTTTCTCTTCTCCCAATGTAACTGCTACCCCAGATACATGTAAATTTGTATACACAATTAGAGTTAACACGAGTAGAGTATCTGTCGACTTTTGATTGCACCAAAGTGCATGTTATCCGATAAACAGGAATCAACTTAGATGCAGGATAGGTTCTGGTTAGTGAGGTATTCAATCTTTTCTTAACTATTTCTGCATTATTATCACCTTTACAATCGAGTAAAATGAAGGTCCGCTTTTTTCGCACGGTGAATCTTCACATCTTCTCTACTTAGAATCATGATGTTAACGATTCTAGGAAATTTAAGGAAGAACATCAATGTTGTCAATAACAACAGCACTGGTGTTAGTAACAACTATTCTTTCATTTTTACTGTCACATAAGTGTAGAACGTGAAGATAAATTTGTGTTAAACAATAATCTCTCTCCATTAGTCAGTCTTCTGAATTGTTAAGTCACGGAGATTCCACAATATTTTAATGATTCATGCAACACGCAGTGGGTATTCTAATGTTTCACAGTCAAATAATGGTTGTTTTTCAACTTTTTATTTAAAGATCTTGACTATGTAAAGATATAAACAAAAAGTATACATTTCTAACTCGGAATTCTCTAAGTTAACTTGGAGAGGAATATATAATTGAGATTTGGTGGCCATTACAGAAAGCATGGATTATTTAAAACATCCTCTCTACGCCTTTTTTGCAATTTGACAATTCTGTTTTCTACTTTTTGATACAGTCGTTCCCTATTCTTAAATGAAGCAACTTTATAGCTGCCTGGTTTGGCAGAAGATTTTAAATCTCTTAAATGTAGTCTCCAGTTTATGCACTGTCCGTACAGGAGACTAACAACCTAATAAATTCACATCATGGAACTATTCATACACCTCTTTTTCTCAATAATTTAAAAAATAAACAGTCCTGTAGGTAGCTTCACCCTTTATTATTTGACCGAAAAACGGTCAGAAGTTGGTCATTCATATCTCACTTGGTTGACTGGCTGATTTGTAACCCATAATTCCTTGGTGGTATAAATCAGATAGCAGTTTCTGCCTTCTTCGTTACCACCTTACTTCCCCAGCTCGTTTTAAAAAATTATCTTTATTTCTTTCTGTTTATTAGCTCTTATGCATGCTGCAGTATTTGGTAATGTAACTACTCTTATCCAACGGATGTATTCCAGACGTTCAGCATATCAGACAAAAAATCAAGATCTGAAAGATTTTACACGTGCACATCATATACCAAAACCGCTGAAACAACGTATGCTAGAGTTCTTTCAAGCTATGTGGGCAATAAACCGAGGGATTGATAAAGAAGCTGTAAGTTGAATTTTGGACTTGAGATATTCCGTCTGTCTTCCATTGACACTGTGAAAATACCTCAGTGATATATGAACATTTTATAAGTTGCAACTTCAAGGTGAAGTAGATGGAAGGCATTGACTGAATTTCAGACGAAATAGCTTAATGGTCAACAAGCCCGCTCTTATAAACTAAAGGTTTCTGGTTTGATACATGGCGTGGTCGTGAATGTGTACTGCTGGGCACTCCCAAACTAGACGAAAAGAGGATTTTGGTGATCTCTAATTGATTTTAGTTCAAGTTGAAATCTGCACTAAAACTAATCCAAATCCCCCACAGAAATCCAGCATCTAAAAAGTTGTAGCTGTCAACCGTCTTCTTTAAGGCAGGAAAGCCAGTCCCTTTTTAATAAATTCATGTACAAATGATGTAATGTATCATAGCTATAGACTTCCTCTAGAACTATGCGATCATGGACATAGTTCATCAGAAAAGTGTTAGAAATGTATTCTAAGTTAATGCTAACTTCTTTGTTCATAATGAGGCAAAGTAAGACGTGAAAATTAAGAGCAACACAGAAGTTACATAATATCTTATCATCTTTGTATGTCTTAGTAGGCAATAGTACAACTTTTGTTGACAGTAAAGTCAACTTTTATAACATCGGATAAAAAGTGATTTAACAAATTAAACTCTTAATAAAGGATACTTATTCTACGAAAGCTAACCAGTAGTCACATACAAATTTACATTACTTTTACGTAGGACGTCACGTTATTTAGCACTTGTCTTTGTTGTTATAACTAGCACACAGTCTGCATCGACGATAGGACTAGACACATTACAGAGAAATAAGCTTTGTAGATTAAACGATCCCGTGGGGCCAATTAAACAAAACAATCTAGTTTATCTAATACTTTGCAATGATTATCAGGTCAAATATATAGGTCAAAGTAGTAGAACGGGGTCAGTTAGTTAAACTAGGGGAGCACAAAAACATTCCCAATCTGGATTAGTTGACCCGAATAAATCTAGAAAATAGGTCAGCAATAGCACTACATGCAATCACACACAACCATACAATGGGATGAGATAGGATAACAGTTTTAAAATCTAATGTAACAGGGTGGAGATAGAGTTTGATAACGGAAGCTTTATTTATCGAGTCAACTGGAAATACTACGTGCAGTAGAAATGATTCAACACCTGTCCCAGACATCTCAAAAATTCTACTACCCATATGATGAGTAGGAAGGGATAAAGAAAACTATAAAACTCAAGTTTCGAAGTCGTGTGATTATAACTGATGAAATGATTATGAACAGTTGACTAGTTGTAACTATGAGCAGTCCATTTAGCCCTGTTTTCGCAGATATATTCATGTCCAACCGTGAAAGAACAAAGTTGAAGCATGCAATCGATGAAACAACTTCCTATTGTAGATATGTCGGTGACACATTTGTAGTGTGCAACAATTAAAGTCATGCTTCTCACTTACTCAGATTATTCACTGACGCACATATTAATATTGAATTTACTATGGAACACGAAAGTGATGGAAAGTTCCACTTCCTCGAAATTGCCATGCAACGCCTAGAAGATGGTAGTCTTCTGAAGCCAATTCACCGAAAGCTTACATGGAAAGGACAATACCTACATTTCAATAGTTTTTGTCCAAATAGCTTTAAAAGTGGACTGGTCAAGACTCTATACTATTGAGCTAAGAAATTATGCTCTATAGAGAAATTAGAGGAAGAATTTATGTTTCTCGAAAAGATGTTTAAAATCAGTCGTTACCCTCAAAGATTCATTAACAAGTACGGAAGATCTGAAGTCTTAAATGTCAAACAAATCACAGTGGATAAAAAGCCGATCTGCATTCAACTTGGTTATAAAGGCGAAAACATTACAGCAATGGTAAACAGAAGACCAAGTATGTCACTAGCTAGAGCCTATTCTGCAGCTAAACTAGTTCCCATCTATCGAACAATTCGCTTTTTAGTGCGATCAAAAATTGATGGACATTCTTCTCATGTTAACTGCAACTGTGTTTACAAATTAACATGTATCTGGTGGGTCAGTTATACTGGAAGAACAGAAAGAAGGGCATATCTACGATTTTCGGAACGCCTATCATAAATCCTGTGTCTAAAGGGAACAAATGCTCTAATCACTGCCACCACAGGTCATGAACTGGATATCGCAAGATCGTTCAAAATTATCAATGGGCAAAAGAGTTCAATTCTCTTCAAGTTTGCCGAAGCCATCTCCATCAAGCGCCTGGAACCTGATTTATGCATTCAGAAAGAAGCAGTTTTCAGTCTCTCTTTGCCCTGGTAACTGTATATTTCCATCTATCTTTCATATGATTACTTAATGTCGAAAGTTTCCATTGTGTATGATAATTATTTTTAAGAATAGTGTTTAATATTTAATTATATATATATATATATATATGTACATACAGTCATTTTACATAACCAACCAAAAACTAGTTTAAGATGTTAAAACTTTGTTTTAACCGTTTTACATGTACTAGTAAAAATCCACTGATCTGTCTTTTAATCTACGTCAGGATTACATATCTGGTTTACAAGTCACGTAACACAACGAATCATAACATATGTCCTCTTTTGCCCACATATATTCACTCGAAAAATATCGTGTGTATTTAAGGCTTTCTGAAGAATACGAACTAGTACAACGAATGTAATCCTATTCTTAAGAAATCTATATCATTCAACAGTGAATAAATTATAGTGATAAATTTTTTTGGTTTTTCCTATCACTTATCGCAATTTTTCCTATCTCATTCATTTTTGATTTTTCATTTCTTTTTTAAAAATGATATATCAAAGATAATGCATTCATTCCCTGAAAATCTTCGTGGTGATATTGCTTTACACTTGAATCGTGAAATATTATCATTAAGTCTGTTTAAAAGTGCAAGTCCTGGTTGTCGAAAATCTTTAGCCCAATTGATTACAACTCGGTTTGCAACACCTGGTGAATATGTTGTTAATCAAGGCGATGTACTCAGATTTATATATTTTGTATGCAGCGGTTCATTGGAGATATTAGGTGAAGAAGGTACAGTTGTCGGACTGTTAGGTAAGTATTTCGTTTTTGTCTGAAGTACTTTACTCCGCCTATTTCTTTGTCATCTTATAAATATATACTCAATGTAATCTGATGATTCTGTTGTTCGGTATGGATCCAGAGAAGGCGGCTATTGATGAAAGCCTGCAAACTATTTGTAAAGCTTCATGTGACGTGTGCGTCAAGTCTCCAGGCCATGTAGAAGAAGTAACTTAACAGTACAGCTGAAAATCGGAATTTCGTTCTTTAAACTGAGTGCAGAAGATTTCCATAATGATTTCAAAGTGTCGAAGGTCCGTCTTGTCCTTCATACCCTGATTTTGACGTCCTCATTTGTGCTGTTGCTTGTGGTTAAAACGATTCTGCCCAGAGAAGGTAAAGAAGTGACCTTTTCCGAATTTCTTCCATTGATGTTGATTGTTCCCCGTTCTTGCTGTTGTTGGCTGATTATTTTCATCACCTCTGTCTTCACTGTGTCCACTTGAAGTCCTGTCTTTGCAGTTAGACTTTTCTGTCAGTGTGTTGGTTTCCGCCCGTAAATCTTCGAGTTTGTGGTACATTTGACATAAGTCGTCCGCAAAGTCTATATCTTCTAGAATCTTCTAATCGATCCAACGTATTCCTGAATTCCCGCTCCCTGTGGTCTTCCATATAATCCACTTCACCATACTTAGGAATATCATCAATGACAGTAAAAATCCTTTCCTTACTCCTAGATTCACTTCACGGGCATCGCTAAGTATTCCTTTGTGGATCACCTGAGATTTTGTGAGGAGGAGATGAAAGTTTATCAGCAGTCATAAGGTCAACTGAAGAAAATTGCAGAGAACAGGAGGAAATACAGGCGTTGTGTTAAAGCCTCAGATTCCACTAGGAACCCCAGAGAATAGTAATAATAACTTAGTGGCTATCAAATAACAGTGGAATCCAGAATGACTAATCTTCCTATTTGGGACTCGTCCGATTACGTCCCCACTGAGACTCATTTTAACCGCCAAAGGGTTATCCACTATATCACTTTTACCACCAGAGGCACTTTCTGTACAAGAAGCATCAGCCATTTTTCTTAAATCCACTTTTGAAATTGCCTAAAGTTAGTTATCAGACATCGTCGAAGCATCCTTACTAGGAGCCGTATGTCATCAGAGGTCGAAGAATTAGGTCCACGGGAAAATCAAAATTCAACTAAAAATGATACTCACTGTGTCTCAAAGTTTCGCAGCCCCTATTGTATTACACTCGAAGGTAGCTAGAAAGTGCATACAATTTAAAAAACAGCTTGTGACCTGTAAGTGTTTGATAACAAGATATTTGATAAAGCTTAAATCTTTTTACGAGTTGATCATGGATTGATATCAGTTAGAGAACCAATGAAAAGCAGGGAGTACTGGACAGCTGCTGTTTCATCCTAGTCTGGGAATCATCGACAGTACGCACCCACTGGGATTCGAACTCAGGACCTTCCGGCTACAAGGCAAGCTCGTACACTACTCAGCCACTGGGACCCGATTCAATGGCTCATGAATTCTAACTTCTACCAATTCGTGATTTAGCGCGACCCCAACCACCGTCGTTGGTGTGACATCAATCCACACACGTGACATCTAATTGGACCTCATTGGTCACAACTTCTCACTAGAACTCAGGAAACTCCAACCTGTAGCAAGTCACTAGCGAGCATCAGATTAATTTTCTATAGTTTTTTTGTAAGGGTTTGTTATGTTTTGACGAGTTGATCATGGATTGATATCAGTTAGAGAACCATTGTAAACCAGGGAGAACTGGACAGCTGCTGTTTCATCCTAGTTTGAGAATCATCGACAGTACGCCCCCACTGGGATTCGAATCCAGGACCTTAAATGTAACAGTTCTTATTATGACAAATAATCCTAATTACTTACTATTCAATCAACTATGAACAATCAAAGCTTCGTAAGTATGATAAATTTCAGATGTCATTTAGATTAAGTCACTTATTAGTTTTTCATCAAATACTGATGGTTTGCAGTCATAAAACCTGCAATAATTACTGGAAAATGTCAGCAACCTACTTGAAGGGGTTGTCTTTCTTTTCCGCGATGCCTCAGCCAACTGTCATTTTCAATATCTATATTTCCAATAATTCCTTAACTGCCTCGTTTTCTATGTGAGCTTTAAAATCTTTCATCACAAGATACATGACAGGTAAACTGTGGTTGTGAAGACATTGTCTACAATCTACTTGTAAACCGCTTTGATTCCTTGGTGTATTTTAAATTGCCAATGCCACCTTTTGTGTAGAATCTTCAAAGTCCATCTCTCGTTCACCTACTACATCTGATTGTGTCAGTCAATCTACTGCTAAACGATCACCACCGTGAGTGTCTAGCCATAAGTTCCTTCACAGAAATCTCTTGATAAAGTATACGAAGTAGCTAGTCGTATCTAACTTAAGTACAGTGTAGTAATGATCCAAGTGGTGTATTACAAGGCTGTAAATGTTCTTTACCAATGTGACCAAACATGAATGAAATCCAGATATAGAGCTTATTGCAGAAAAAATTCTGTACAAGTTTAACTTGCTAAGATTTATAGTTGTTCTTGATGTTTTTTCCTTCTTAAAGCTGATAGTCAATAGTAAGGGGTAATGTGATACAATAAGCAAACGTTGACTTGCTTACTTCCTTTCAAACTCCCTGAAGGAAAATTTTGTTTACAGTCTAGATATATGCAATAAAATAAAATCATTCTCCTAATAGTACTGGGATATCTGTCAATTCCAGACAATTTTTAACATTATTTTACAATAAAACTTGTGACGTAAAAGAAAATATGCTGTTTGAACGTATATGTATACATATGTAAAGCTTCTAAAATCCAGTATAGACATTATATTGACTGTCTTTTCATGTCACTTAGTATGGCAAAAAACAAAATATCTTATGTTCACCTCTATGTGTAGTGACTTATTCATATACCCCTGCGCGAATGGTTACGATGTGTGCTGTTAGCGATTCCTTCAGAAACGCATAGACGGATACTGTCAGGTTGGCTTAACAAAATTTAAAAATGAAATGATAAAGTCAATCTCTCAATACGTTATTGGGTCATGTGAATTAGCTACCCATGTTTTGTATTTTGAAGTTATCCACAAAATCAAATTCAACCACTTTCAAAGTTGTCACACTCATCACTCCTGTAAGCTTGAAGCAGTGGCCAGACTTGGTATTCAGAAGTTTTTACGGAACCCACTCTTTATCATTGTTGCAATAATGATCTCCCTGGTTAATTACATCGCACTTCACTTTATGTTATATATTTCTATTATTTTCATTGTCGATAGTATCATCATTATTTTGATTTTAACTTTTCGAGAGAGGTGTACTTTAAGATTACCTTTTAAGATAAGCTCCCCTTTTTAATAACCCTCTCTACATTTCGTTCACTCACAATTCAGTAATCATTTGAAATCACACTCGCAAATTTACGAATTAATCCTCAGTTTACACATTCCTGGGTGATTATTTCACTATAGTTTCCATTGGAAACCCAGATTACTCAAGTCAAAATATTTGATCTGCTTAACAGCGTAAATGGTGATCAAGAAAGCCAGCTTAAATCCATGAAAGTATATACTACTGACTTAGTTAGATGAGTAGTTGTGTGCCACTCATATAAACCAGCAGAGCTTGCTAGTCAACCAGATCGAAATACCTGCAGATCAATAACTGCAGTTCTACCAATTTGGAGCCGAGTTCATCAGCGCTTTGACTCGGCTGAAAGATTAGAACCACTTTAAACCATCAGATTCCTGGCTAGCCAACTGGGTGAACAGTTGATACCATAAATCGTATTCTCAACTTTTAGATAAGTTGGAAATTTAGCTTATTAATTCTTGATTCATGCAGTAAGAGATGACTGTTCCACCATAGTTCCCTTTGGAAACTCAGCTTATTCAAATCACACTTTCTTTTATTTCTTTACGTTCCCAGTGGAACACAGAGCTTCAAGCTAGAGATTGAAGTTTCGGTAGCAGTGGTGCTTACGTTTTACGTGATGGAGTTGCTAGCCTCATGCCCAACCTTCCCTCTTCACTCTTCTTATTACTGGCTTAGCGAGGTAAAGGAGTGCGTCAGACGGAGATCGAACCCCGAACCACATACGTAGTTGGCTAGTATTCTACCGCTGTGCCACCGACACACCAAATTACAGTTGTTTTTTCGTTATGCATATGTATTAACTAAACTATTCAGTGCAACTAACTGTTTTACCTACATGATATGGCTACAGCAATACATTTTTAACATAAAGTAGTAATTGGAAAGCATTATTTCTTCACCAACTGAACTAACTTCTCCTAATTCAAAAATAAATGGTTAGATTTCGTAAACAAAAGAATAACTGACCACTGGCTTATTTAACAAATTTATGGATACAAAAGAATCTGAATAATATAATTATTTCTAATTCATAAAGAGTTTATAACCATCCGTTGGATTTATGAATTTTATAAAAACTTCGTCAACTTAATCATGAATACATATAGCATTACTCGCACTCTCAGCACATTTCCATGAACCAATTAAGCTACTTATAAGTACCATTAGTATTTATAATATTTATTTGTTTATTTTAACTTGTAACTACTACCGAAAATACCCATCAAGTTGTGAAGAAAAGAAAAAACAATTCCGCGAAGAAAATTTTCCTTATCGACAAAATCATCTCAGAGACTGTACAGTCGTATTTATATTTGCCAAAGATGTAAAGTAGTACAATATTGAGTAGTATGAAGGGTATGGTGCACACAAAGCGCATACTTTTCAAACGCATCTCTAAACATTATCTAGCATCTTTAGGAAAAGGACAACGCAAAACAGTTACTAACTCTGTTTTCGAACACTTGGTAAACTCAAGGCACTCATCTCCACTAGGATCGTCTTTCAAGGCTGATTATCTACAAGTTAAGTTGAAACTGTACAAAGTGCTGTAGGTCTCAGCATATGTGTACGGCAGAGGTTGAAGATTCATCAACACTACCCCAAACTCTGTGCTCAGAAAAAGTTCGTCCAGTCGCTTATTCTACCATGATCTTAATCTCCTCATTAGTCGTTCGCTGTAAATTTCTTGTAGTTTATAATGATTACTTTGCTTTTACTTTAATAATAAATTCACTGTTATCACTCTCACAAGCTCCTTTTTTACATTATCTCATCCTCCTCACTTCTGTTAAATGGACACTCAATTACCTTTCTTCTCACTTAATAACAATTTTAATCCTGTCAAACTTCTAACGCTTTCTTTATTTACTTTGTTTTACTTTTGAAGTCGCTTCCGAATAATCATATCAAATATGTCAACCCCCTCCCATTATTCAGCAATCGACTACTATATATTTTTGGTAAATTTAAATACGATCGTAACTATTAGTTGTAGAAGTTAACCACTTATTTTTTCGAATATTTTATTCAGAATGATGTAGCTTCACTCGTCAGCGTACATGAGTAATCACTGAAAGGTTTCGAATAGTCTTATGCTTATATGGTGATTCACTTATGTTAACCTATGGGTACTTGCTTGAGTTGCAGTTTCAGATACCCTCATGCATTTCACTGCCATTATTAACTGCCTTACTATTCAAACAGACATCTTAAGCACCAAAAATTTGTCAAACGCACCGAAAAAAAATAGAGGGCAAAAGTATTTCTTCTGTAAACCATTTCAAAGGCATATATTTCATGAAAGTCTTGAGGACTGACTGACATACCAAAGTTGCTGAAATCAATGGATCATCTATATCTATATGGTGCTTAATGTGTACTGATACTGAATTACCATCTAAAACGATTTGTGAAATAAAACACTTTGATATTCTTACAGTTCGAATTTTATTCCTCGAGCTACACATAAACTATGTCCCTAAAGGAATTTTGCTATATTGTTGTGAGGTGGTTGTAAGCAGTCTGAAGTTACTACCAAGTATCTTACCAAAATATCCATTCTAACCCTACACGAGGCTGACCACAGGCCCGAATAGCCTAGTGGTGATGCCTTTGACTACAGCAGGGAGTGACCTGGGTTCATATTTCAGAAGGCATATGAGTTCCCTTTTTAGTGCAGGTACGCCTTATTGACGACTAAAAACAAGCATGAAAAATAGGTTTATCGCCTCCTGTTGATAGTGCTCAACCATCTAATAGCAATAAAGAGTGTGTCCTGATTGCTATTCGCCTGGCGTGGTGGTCACAGTCTGTACAAACAAAGGACTAGAGGCATGGCACTAGTATCCAATCAAAATCAAGTTTATCCGAATGTTACTCCAACAGATTCCATACCTTAATTTTATCTGGAGGTATTACCTTATAATTAAAATTTCCATGCTACTAAAGTACTACTGCTCGTTTCTGAAAACAGTTTGAACTGATTTGATCTCCTTAAATGAATTACAAGCTACAATCCATATGTTTGGAAGTAATTCAGTTCTCTGAGTTGAATCTTACAACATATGCCACTGATAAGACTGGTCTCAATCGGGGTAAAAAAACTTCCTTACTAGCAGGCACTACTGCTTCATGTAAGTGGATCTCAGTTGGTCATATCTATCACCGGTATACACTGTTATACGAATTCGTTTGCTATTTATACTGCCCAGTAAACCATAGTGAATTCCCACTTAAAATACAGCTCAGTATCTATTCCACTAGCGTGTGTTCCACTAGTGTTCTGCTCAAGAAATATTTACATCGTTGTTAATCTTTAGGCTGTATATATTGCTATTGTGTTATTCGCTACGACGAGCTGTACAACACCGAAGTATTTTACAACAAGAACACCAACGTATATCACATGTGATGCGTTCCATTACATTCTATTGCACTACAGTTATACCTTTCAAAAATTATGGTTAACACGATATTAAAGTTCATCATTTCTGTTAACTCTTCACTCCCTAAAGTGCTTTAATTTCATGAATAAAATCCACACGAACATTCCTAAATTGTATTTCATTCTTCTTTCTTTTATTTTTACGTAAAAAATCAGGTAAATGTGATATATTTGGCAGTGATATGGATGATTTACCAACTTTGGGTTTTTCAGCCTATAATGTAAAATCACTGACATACTGTGAATTACAGTGTATAGCATTAGATCATGAATTACAAGAGATCTTTGAACAGTATCCACAATTTCAAAAACAATTCGCTTTGGCACTATCTGAAGAATTATCCTTCAATCTAAGAGCAGGTTTCGACCCAACAGTAAGTTATCATCTGAAACAAAGTGTTGATAAATCAATAATTTCTTTTTAAAACAACTTTTAATAATTAACTCCAGGATAATTCTGACAGAGTGTAAATTAAAAATACACCTAAAAAACATAAATGGTGTAGATATGATAGAGAAGATTTGTAGCCCAGGTGGATGATTTTGATGTGGTTGTGTTCTCTGAGCTGGATAGTTAATTTGTGAAGCTTTCATCGCCCTACTAAACGACATCTTCAGTGCATACTTCAATTTGAAGTGAGCTTTTAGATTTCTCCACGAGTTTATTAATCATTTCTCCCGGTGACCTTGGGTGTGATTGGTTGTTTTTGTGTGTTTTCACACCTAAAAGGTCACCGGGAGAGATGATTAATAAACTCATGGAGAAATCTATAAGCTCACTTTAAACTGAAGTATGCGCTGAAGATGTCGCCTAGTAGGGCGGTTAAAGCTTTGAAATTCAACTATTCAGCTCAAAGTACACAACCACATCAAAATAAATGGTGTACCATTTAGAAAACAACAAATATGAATGGAATTAACTACCACTTTTTATTCATTTCATACATTTATTCAATTCTTTTCCTAATCACCATATCTACTTTTTATGCTTGTGTTGTTTAATTTTTATCGACACATGTTGAGAATCTGTCTAACATGACTACATCTCATAATGAATGACTGTGGGTGGTACAGTATTGAGAATCTGTAGACTGGACAAAGAAATAACGAACATAATTGTAGTATAATACGAACTTGTCTCATGTCAAGAATTCCCTTCAGCTGTATACATGCTAAACAGAAATAAATTGTAAATTACAAAATATTTAAGCATACTCCTTCACAGTGACTTCAAGATATAGATAGAATGTTTAAGTAATATAATTCCAAAAATTATGATGTAATTAAATGAATTATTCAGTGTTAAAGACTAACTACTTGATAGTAGAGTTCAGATTTCACTTGGAAATAAGGATTGTCTAGAGACAAGCTACAAGACCGAACAACAAAGTGAATTTATACATATTATGGCAGAGAGTTCGAAAGGGTGGGAGTGAGTAACTAGTAAAATAAAGTTACGAAACAGAAGAAACAGTTAAGCAGATATACAGAATAATGGTGACTTCAACTAAGTAGGTGAAATCTTCAAATATTAGTTTTTAGGGATGTGATTGATCTGTTACAGAATTTCATCATGAAATGACATCAATTAGCGAACCATTGGAAAACCAACTGGCAGTTCTGGACAGCTGTTTTATCCTAGTATGAGACTCTCCAGCAGTACACGCCTACCGGTGTCCAAACCCAAAACCTTCTCGTTACAAGGCGAGCTCGTAGACAATTGAGCCACTGGGTCCTGATCCAATGGCCAGTTCATGAATTCTAACTTCTACCAATTCACAACATAGCGCCAACACTAACTAATCTTTGGGTAAGTTAGAGGCGAATAAACTGTTCTGATTGATTGGCACGAGAGTAAATAAAGTATCCGATGAGGTTATTTCAGCTGCAAAACATCGGCTAAAAGTAGGATTTACGGGATAAACACTCCTTACTTTCCAGACACTTACTTAAAATGTTGGTTTTAGTTTTGGCCGCATTTTATCGATCTCCATCACAACACGGAATTACCTTCTTCCGACTGAAGCTCGAGTCCATCACGTATCTCTGAAGTGCTACAGTGTTCTGTGGTAGGCCACCTAGCTGCAAGTGTCACCTCTTATGCAACAGGATGTTACTTGTTGGAGTTATTATTACTAACGTTGTCTATTGGTGTATGTGGTAAGTCTTTAACGTTTGATATATACATACATACATACATATATATATATATATATATATATACTGGATTCAGGTATCAGTAACTACACTATGGTTTCAGATACTCCTAGCCCACGGGTCTCAAACGGAGCGAATCGCGTATGCAGAGTCCCACCGTTAAACACGGCTAGGTAATCAATGTCATATCAACCTCAAGCTTTCTTTCTGTGCGTCGGTGGCACAGTGGTTAGGACTCTCGCCGACCATGCACATGGTCCGGGGTTCGAGCCCACGCCGGCGCACACCTGATATCTATGGTTGGCCTGCAAAATTTGGGCTACCGATATCCATGCTGAAAATTCCATAATTGTACCAAAATTACAGTGTGGAATCAAGCTGTAAATCAAAAATCAAATCAAAATCAAGTTGTCGTCCAAGTGCTGACATTTCAACACAAACTGAACAGTTCACTACAGTAAAATCAATCAACATGAAACTCGGAACAGTGATTTCTACAAATCCCTTTATTAATTTCGACAGTTCCTTAGCTCCACCGGGTGGTAAGTGGGAATGAAGCTTTTGAAAGAAAACTGAAAACTAGTAAAACTAAGGTCACTGAACTCATTCCGTTCTCCAAACCACACTTAGGCTGCCTCCATTTTATTCACTTTATTACACAAACTACTCATAAGTAGCTAAAAATTCCAAATCGCAAATTAAACCATCTGGCTTAGAGAACATAAGTGCATCAAAATCATTCATTTGAGCTACAAATCTTCTCCATTATATCTACATCGTATATATTCAAATTTAATTGTGCATTTTTAAATCGATAAAACCTACTAACACTAAATACTGACCCTTATCGGGTTAATTTTCTCACTGATAACTTGTTATATCTATATCCTCCTTTCCTGTTCTCTTATTTTTAGTCCTCAATGGAACTTATCCCTGCAATTACTCTTTCTAATGATAAATGTATGGATTCTGATGAACCCTCTGATAATGGCAGTATAAAATCACAGCAAACGCCAAAGGAAATGCATACACTATTAAAGCCTACAAATGATACTGTATCCTTTGAAAATACAGATGATAATTCTAGTGTTAAAAGTGACAAACAGATAACAGAAAAAGATATGAAGTTGAAAGCAGTAATAAATTCAACCAATCCAGAAGATTTAATTAATAAATACATAGAACAAGATAAAGAAAGGATTTTTGGTGAGAAGACCATTAACTCACAGAGAAGCAGACCTCTTCTCGTCAAACAGAATTCACTTAATTTATATCCGAAACATATTCAGAAATCAAATAAATTTCATACTAAAACATTCAGTTTAAACAAAATACTGCCTACTGAAAGAATGAATGGGGAGATTGATGAAGATTATAATAATAATGACAATAACAGTGATGGTAGTAATGAAGATGATGAAGTCAATGATTGTAAAGATAAACAAAACTTCAGAGAGAACTATTCGAATTTTCGAATGGTTAATCCATCTAATTCTTTTCAAAATATCATAGATTGTACAAAAAATATAATACCAAAATCATTTCTACAAAATAAATGTCGATCATTTGACGACATTTATCAAATCAAAAAACCATTTGGAGCATATTCATCAGAACATGCTGGTGAAATAAAACATGGACACAGGTAGACTATCTATCTATCTGCATAAACTTTGAATACTTTGTAACCCACCTTTCTTCACAACTGTAGAATGTAACTGCTGAAAGTGGATGGCTTGAGTAGGCTGGTATTCTTTGACTATAGATGTCTGAGTTATATATCTCGTGATAAGTGGCACAATATCGTCATTAATTACCATAAGATTTTGGCGTAGGGTGTTAAGTCGATCGATGAGATTGTTCAGATGTATTGATTTAGACAGCCAAAACGTGTTTTATGCATCCCAAGTTAACTTATTCCTCGTAGAACAATATTACCTGACACATATTTAGACGGGAAAAGAGTTAAGGATAGTCAGAGTCATATTTGACAACACTTCACGAATTCTTCGTTTTTGATCACATAGAAAAGTATAAACCGCATGGCTACGATCCTTAAGAATGGTGGTGATATGGTCAAGATCGTTCACTTATATTTCTTGTTTTTTTTAATATTAGTAGTGGGAATATTTAATATTTCAACGTTAGTCATTCTGAATTTCCTCAGTATAAATATTATGACAACAGGTCGCATATATTCACTTCAAAGGCTTCTCTGAGTTTCCTGTTTTTGATCAGTTCACAAATGGTATAATCATATGGCTGCTGCACTAAGTTGATATAGGCTACAGCACTCCACAGTGTTGAAGTATTTTCCAAATTACTTCGCTATAAACGCTGTCGAAGGCCTTCTCAAGGTCGATGGGGTTGTAGAGATTTGACTGAAATTCCATGCTGTGTTCGATGATGATGAATATAGTTACCATTTGATCTGCAAATGATTTGCTTTTCTTATATCCAGCTTGGTCCAATCGGAGTTCTGAATCCAATGCATCTTTTATTCTCTCCAGGAAGATGCAACATAATATTTTGTTTGACGTGCACAGAAACACGATTTCCCGCCAAGTCTTGCATAGGTCCAAGAAGTCCTTCCTTAATAGATTTACAAGGTAGCGTTTTCTCCAATCTTCAAGGATTGGTTTTGTAGCCACTTTGTTTGACTGAATGGAGGATTTCGTCATGAGCTGACATCAGTTAGAGAACCACTGGAAATCTGCAAGGAGTAGTGGACAGCTGTTTCGTTCCACTAGCTCGGGGTTTTGCATCACCACACACCCATACTGTGGGGTTCAAACCCAGGAGCTTCTGGTTACAAGACGAGCTCGTAGACCATTGAGCCATTGGGACCTGATCTTATAGCCAACCCATGAATTCCAACTTCTGCCAATTCATGACAGAGCGCGACCATTTCATAATGTCTTCTTCGATGAGTTATTGTCTCATCTTTAACCTGCTTACCCTACTGGTGCTGGCTTCCCACTTGAACCCCAGGTTACTGCATGAATAGGACCAATCGCTAGTGAGCATCAGATTAATTTTCAAGCATAGGTTTTGCAGGGACTCTGTTTGATTGGATGGAGGATTTTATGATGAGCTGACATCCGCTAGAGAACCACTGGAAAACCTGAAAGTACAGAACAGCAGTTTCGTCCTAGTTTCGGACTGCTCCAACCACCAAGTACCTTCCCTTCCTTCCAAACCCTTTGCAATAGCGACGTCAACATGTCCTCTGCAGTCATTGGATCCGTTTTTATTGCTTCAGGAGGGATTCCGTCCGGTCCTGCTGCCCTCCCGACTGGTTTTCGGTAACTTCTATCTTTGTTGATGGATGTTGGTATACTAACAGTTCTGTGGCTCTTGGTAGTATTTGTGGATGAGTTACTAGTGGCGGTCTCTTGAGGAGTTCTGTAAAATGATCGACCTATTGCTGCCTTTGTTCAATATCTTTGTTAACTAGATTACCTTCGCCAACTTTCATCGATTTCTTCTGTGTAGGTCATTTCCAAGTCAGCAACCTTGTCGCCTGGTACACCTACCTGAGGTCCGTCTAACCTGTAGCTTGTTCTGCTTCAGTCACCAGCATGTCGTTCAGTTGTGTTTTCGCCTTTCCTGCAAGTCTTCTTCACTTCCTTATTCAGTTTCCTGTAGACTGAAGTGAGCTTCTCCTCCTGTTATTGATCTTTACGCCGGTTACTGCTATCATAGTCAGTATTACTTCTGTGATAACACTTTTCATTCACACAGGTACCAGTCAATTGCTACGATCTATTATTTAGTCATACATTTCTCACACTTTCCACTTTTCATTCCTATAAAACTTACCACTTCATTTATATTTAATATTGACATTCTTTTGTAGATATAATACTACTCCTAATAATGATAACAATAACATTGGTAATGGATACTTTTATCCAGAGAAAACTTGTGCTCAAGTCAATGATGTTGTATTCTTCGATGTTAATCATAATAATAATAATAATTGCCACAATAATGAACAACTCATCTCACTACTTGATGTACACTTTCATCAAACACAAAGTCAAATAGACTTGCTTAAATCAGAAATTAGTCAAATGAATCAAAAAATTGATAAAATACAAAAAGATTTTACAGAATTTGCAAAATATTTTATCAAAGAATCATCTAGTTCAAATGTGATCACCAAATTCTCAGATAATAAACGCTTAAAAACTGCACATTCTGTTTTAGACAATGAAAATGCTTCAGCATTATCTTCAGGTTTTGCTACTCCCACTACCCCCTCTTCTACTACGACAACTCAGAGTGGTAGTTGCTGCTGTAATAGCGGTAATAACAATAATAATAATAATAACAGTTATACCAATAACAGTTGTCTTCATAATTCTAAAGATGACCTACCTATCCAAAAACCAATTATTTCCTCCAGTTCACGTCCATGCTTACATCAATACGGTAGACCAAACTATTCACCAGAGAATCGTGTTGTTACATTCCGACTACCTCCACGTAATCATGATTTTCGTAGTCAAAGTTTAACTAATTCACGACAAATGTCACCAGAAACACCAAAAGCAAATCCATTCAAAAGATTGCTGCATAAAAATCCATCTATATCACATATTGATTGATTGACCAATCCATGATATCCATTCAATTTTCAATCATTTATTCATTACAGTGTAACTTTAAATCCATTTAAACAATTAATGAAATAGTCACTTTGCTATAATTTAAAGAATATTTTCTGATTAGTATTTTATATGGAACAAAACCAAAAATTAGTAGAATATATAAGTAGTATAAGAGATGACATCTTCATTTAATCATCTTTTGTTTACTCATGATTTATGAAACATCGAAGTGTAATATAATACTTTATTATACCATAGATAATAATAATAATAATACTTCTACTACCCATCTCATTTGTGTACATAGTTGCTCAAAGATTGAAAAATGCAAATGTGATTAAGTACAATAATAATCCTGTAAAATATATTCACCCTCTATTTCTCACTGTCTCACCTTCCTCCTTTCAACTTCCCTCCGTAAGACTTCTGTCTTTGTCAAACAATCGACAAATTTTATATTTGTATATGTGTGGGGCTTTCAAATACTTGTGAAATTACTGTTAAAAGTTGTTTATTCTTTTTTTTGAAAACCGAACAAACTTTTTATTCGAATTCGTCACAGATAAATGAAAACAAACATTCAAATTTCAATATCTAAGACAGAATAAATTAATAATTCAGGATTTATACATATTAAAACGATATGTGAATATCCATTTAGCATATTTGTGGGGATCACTGATTTGTAAAAAGGTTTTTATGTACATTTGAATGACACATATATATTTTTTATAATCTGACCTAGATGTGTATATACATCTTTTGAGACAAAAGCTTTTCGTTTTTTTCTACAAACAAATGATAATAATTCTTATAGAGGTAAGGAAAAGAAAGGCAATTTGTTATATTCAGAGCTTTCTAATCCCTCTAGGCTAAAGATTTTGAAGAGTTATTTTGTAGAGAATCGATTTGTTACAAGCTTAATCATGGATTGATGTCAGTGAGAGAACCACTTAGAGTCAGGTGGTGTTGGTGAATGACTGTTTCCTTCTGGTTTGGGTGTCTTCAGGTTATGAAGTCAAGATGGTTGACCATTAAACCACTTGCCCTAACACCTGACCTGGTGAAAACCTCTCGGGATGAATTCTCACTAGGACCCCAGGAAACTTCGTCCAACACGAATACTATTCGTAAAAATATCAATAGTGCCAATCGATAATCTGGTTTAAAACCAATTAAACCCCTAAGGACTGATCTGATCCTCACTAGGGAGTGCCTGAAGGATAAATTTGCTTGGTTCTCTGGCTGACACCAATTCTTAGTCAAACATAACCTACGGATTTTTTCCAACGGAATTAAATGCAAGTACCAATGGATTTTTTTATCTTTTTCTGGATGAAATCTCCTGAACATCAAGTGCCATCAAACCGCGTCCAGCTCTGGAGAATTATAAATTTGTGAAATATTCAAAGCTACCTGTACAGCGGTGCAGTCACTTACTATACATATTGTAGACACTACTCTGACTTAAACATTTAATCATTACACTACATAACAAAGCCCTTTTGTAATACCAGTACACCACTTTTCAAGCAGGAAAGTACAGAAAAAGGTAACCATTAAACAGGTTAGAGTAGATAAATATTACCTTTTAACAGCGAATAATTCCCCCCAAAATTATTATCCCACAGCTTACATCATTCGGCATTTATCGTCGACCTTCATAACATAGGTTGACTGGTTAGCCCAGAGGTGCTCAGTCAAGCATCCTTAAATTTAGCTCACTACCCTGTTACATTCTACTGTTCCTACTAGAAATCGAATAAGTTAAGCACACTTTACTGATACCGAAATATATTCAGTACTTTGGATAATAAAACAGGTGTTCCGTTTTGGCTTTCAAAGTGTACGTTGGATACGCGTATTATCAAGTTACTGTTTCATATGTGTTAGTCGACAATACATCCTTCTCTATAGGCTAAATTAACTGATTATGCACTTTCAAGTGACGAAGCCTCTCTGAGGCTTTTTCAAAAAGATAGGCACCCAAGTAGAGTCAGTAGTTATTTATGCTAGAACTCACGCCTTCATGATTCTTAGTTCAACTATTTCGAAACGGACAAATCAATAGAATGTTTCCTAAGTGGCCCTCACTGATAAAATAGTAAACATGTAGCTCTGCATAAGGTTTTCCCTATAATATAAGTTTTGTTTTGTAATCAGTACTTACAAGCTGAGTAGGCTATCCGCTAATATATCACTGGCACGAATCATTTTGAGATAGAACAATCAGAAGTTAGTTTATAATAACCCAGTCTGCCTTTATATTTAACCCGAATCTATGGATATTATTCTGGGGAAATGCTCTTGCATTCCATCCTAATGAATTTTCCGCCGTTCGTTACTCCGAAAAGTATTTCGAAAAGTTAATTTAAAAAGATCGCATTCAAAAAGATAAGATTTTATCTAAATGAAATGTAATATAAGTACTTGACACACAGTAGCTAGTTGCCGCAAACTTCTTTCTGTTTACCGTCTTGAATACCCCTGCAAGCATCTCATAGTAAATGGCGTCCGAAGTTCTTAGTTATCCAGGCATGGTTGTGTGTCATGGTAGCCTGTTGACGTGAAAAGTCGTGTAAAGGGAAACAACAAGCACTAGGAGCAATCCTGGAAAACGATTCCATCCCAACTTCTATCAAACCTTCTTATAGAAAGCTTCTAAGACCAGCCTAAACACGTTCATATCAATTAAAATGTAATTCAACAGGATTAATTTAATATGTACAAATTAATCCAATAGTCAGAAGCAGGAGAATTGAGATGTCCAGCTTTATGCAAGCTATATAAGTGGCTGTTTGCTGGCTTGACTTTCCAAGGAACGTGATATTTGTATTTAATGTAATTTTCCACGGTAAAATCGAATATTTATCATCGTCAAGGAGAAGTTAATCTTTTGTCTTCATTTTCTTAGGATCCGAGGGTTAGAAGTAACAGGTGATCAGTACTAGTACTAAACCCGCAAGTTGGCCGAATTAATTAATCACCATCGAGACATCTTCCTTCAATCTGTAGAATAAAAGCTGATGCTTAGGGCCGAAGAGCAGACATAGAGACTGATGTAATTACACATGGTCTCTTTAGATAAGGCACCAGGAAGACAAATTTCGCGGGATGATATCATTTCGTAGTTCCTTTATGACTGCTTTACAAATACCATGGTTCACAATGATAAAATAAAATTCATGACAGTTACTCAGTTATATAAAACAAAAGTACATACTGATAACCAGATAAATTTTGGTCGATCAAGTGATTCGTGTTAGGCAAAGGTTTTTCTGTACGTGCAAGTGCTTCCATCACCCTAAATAACCTTTAGTTAGATTTATGTAGAATAATTTAGGAGCTGTCGTTATTGATTTTGTGATCTGACATTAATACGTACTTTGCGACGGATGATGATTGGTTTCCTGTGTGACTTAATGGGCATTTAGGAATATGTCCTTTTAACGACAATAGAACATTCTATTGGTTCTATCAATATATGCTTCGCTGCAACTCCAGGCGAACTTGTAAATACAGTGCGCAGTAGAGTCTAGAGGATTTGGTCCTTTATCCGTAGGTACGGGAATCGAAAATGTTCGAGTTTAAAGGAAAGAAGATACAATGTTGCATGTGCGCTTGAAAAGTGACCAAACCCCTAGCTGTAAGTTGCGTGATCTGGTCGCCCTTGAATGATACGGAAGCTGCCTTTTCAAGGGATAGCCTATTATTCTGTTGATTTACGGCAAAGTTTTCAGTATAACCATTAGCCGATAAAACGGAATATACGCACTATATCTCATCCATCAATGTGTAGCTCTTGCAAGTTCTACTGACCTTTGAATACAGGCATTCCAATATGGAGCGTTTCAACTAGATATGAAAAAAAACTGCTGAAATGAAGATGATGTCGATTCCATTTTTTCTCGAGAAATATGGATAGCTTAACTTCCTCGTCATCCTTCCAAGTTACTGAAATATCCAGGAAGCCTAGCCTGTGATTCATTTCAAATTCCAAAGCCACCGGTATATATGTATAAATATTATTAAATGGAGTAATGGAGTTTTCAGACGACTCATTGCTATCACTAATAATAAGCGTATCATCTACATAACATCTATATAGCATAAAGTTTCTCAGCATATCTCCAATTCAGACATAAATGCATTTGCTAACAGTGACCCAAAAGGGTTCCCCGCTACAATACTATCATTTTGTTTGAATGTTTTTCCTTGCGAACCGAAAGTGATATTTAATGCACACGTCATGATAAAATTTCTGATGTTCGTAGCAAGTATAGGTGATGGTATTCTATTGCTTGTGATATAATAACGAATGGGATTAACAGTCTCGTGAAGCGGAAAATTGGCAAACGCAGTTTTCATAACCAACCACAGTGTCCAGTCTACATTTACGCTGCGTCGAATAGAGTTTTATAATATTTCCTTCAAGACAGAAATATGCGATGAAATTAGGTGAATGCATGCAAAACTTCAGTCAAACTCGTTAAAGTCGTCTCCTACATGTTCCGATTCTTTGACTACTTTCAAACACTTGCACGTCACCAGAAGTCCTGCCCGACGGGAAGGGCATTGGTTTAATTGGCATTTCCCGAAGCTGTGGTTTTAGGATACGTATCGTCTTTTCTCCGTCAACAATTCAAGTGTTATTTGTCATGAGAGTCCTTAAGACTGTGCGTCGATGGCACAGTGGTTAGGACTCTCGCCGACCACGCACATGGTCCGGGGTTCGATCCACTGCAGACGCACACCCGATAACTATAGTCGGCCTGCAAAATTTGGACTACCGATATCACATGCTGAAAATTCCATACTTGTACCAAAAATACGGTGTGGCATTAAGCTGTAATCAAAATAAAAGAGAGATAAACACAAAATATGTAGATTTACAGAAGGCGCTCACGAAAATTATTCATAGGGGTACAAATAGTGATATCAAATAAAACAACAGAAAAACAAAGAATTAATGTTCAGATGACATCATAAAACCTATC